GATGTAGGGTTTAGCATAAGGCATATAGTCAATAATATGGTAATACCTATGTATAGTGCCAGGTGGGTGCTAGACTAGTCAGGGGGATCACTTCTTAAATTATGTAAAAGTTTAATCACTATGCTACACACCTGAAATTAATATAAAATAATATTGAATGTAAAAAATAAGTAGGTAATACTCAATCTTACCCCCCACCCCCAATAAATAAAAACAAGAAGGAAACGTTCCTCTGTGGCCTTGCACTTGCTTGACCAACAGGGGTGCTGGGGTGGCTGTTGAAGGGGAGGAGGATGGTAACTGCTCAATTTGATCGTGCCTTCCCCCCCACCTCCCTGGGATCCTGCAGCTTCCTTTGTGGGGTTTGGGATATAGAAGGGGTGTGGGAGTGAGGAGGATATCTACACCGTAAGGGGCAGGGGGCAGGCCATGCAGAGTAGCCACGGGGGTTGTTGGGGGACAGGAGGGAAGGTGGTCACAGTGGTGAGCCTGCAGCAGGGCGAGCGTCTGGGCGCTCTGGGTGCCCTGGGTGCTCTGCCACGTACACCCAGGAGTCCTGGCAGATTCTGCGTAAAGGCCTAGGGAAGAATCAGGGTTCTGGGCACAAATGAGAGATTGGAGGAGAGGGACGAGAGAGGATCTAGTCGGTTTGCACCCCTACCAGGTCATGGCAACACCGGGTGAGAAGCACGCCTCTTTCTCTGAGATCAGGCCAGCTGGTCACCTTGCTTGTCCTCATCCCATCTGGGCTGACCTGACGCACTTTGGTGGTGTCCAGGGAATAACCAAATACTCAACTCCTCTTTCCTCTGGGAAGGTTGGGCCGGCATCAGCAGCCACGCCTGTTTACCCCTACACCTGGGATGGACCAAAGAGAAAGGTGGGCTGTTGTTACTACTCCCCCTAAAAAATGCATAGTTCGTTTTGGCCAATGCAATTAATCCATTCATTCCTTTACATTATTCAGCTTGTCAACATTTATTGAGCTCCTCCTATGTGCCAGACAGGTAACACTCCATACATGCTAGTTTCCCTCATGCTAAAATAGACTTGGTGTCCACCTAATTTGCTGGAACCCTAAAGGAAACCAATTATCCTGCCCTTTCCCTGGGTGTCTGATTGAACTCGGCGTGTCCGTCATAGCCATAGAAATATCACTAACAGGCAATGCCAGCAGGATTAGATCTGCAAAGTGTTTAAAGTTTAGCAAGAAAGCTTTCTGCAAATGTCAACACCACCACTCTGTTCCCTGCAAACCGGCATTCTAATCAGCAGGGCTGCTGTTTCCAGCTCATTGAGCAATGACATAAAAATGTCCCAATGCAATCAGTTCTCTAGAAGAAAAACATCAGAAGACAGAAAAGAGGTCATAATCACCGCTGCCTACTACGTGCAAGGTGCAGTACTTGCTGCTTCAGGTACATTCACCACTGATCCTTACAACATGACGGGCAGATGGAGAAACCGAGGCTCACAGATGTCACATAGCTCCAACTGAGGCCAGTTTGGGGGCTTCACTTCAACCTCATGTCAGAGTAGGAGGGATTTCAGAGGCTAGTCACAAGACAAGAGCATCGCTGTGCTCCTCACTCCTGAGACGCCTGGGGCTCCCAGTTTCTCTTCCTCTTCGATTCCCCCAGAGGCTAGGTGGAGGGATGTAATGCATTTGGAAATTTTGAGCTGAAGGAGGAAAACATTTTTTTTTAAAAGAGACCTGTTAGGGTGTTTGCTTATTGGGTTCCTGGCATAGATAGCACCTGGTAGACTTAATGGGATTTCAAAATGAAGTTACTAATGGAAATTATTCACTGGGGACTTTCCAAGAGATTGCTAATAGAGAGTGAGCGGCTTGTGCTGGGTGACTGGAAGAGTTGCTCTAGGTTGTCACAGCTAGGCACGGAAGGTACTGAGGCCAGGCATGGCTGAAATGTAGTTTCACAGTAGGTTCACCTCTCAGACTTGACTCTATATAGGAAGACAAAGAGGAGCCAAAGCAAAAGTATAAAATCAGGTGTACAAGACACAGTACTTCAGTGAGTTAGCCGTCAGTTTGTCCCTGGGTGTAGATCTGAGACATCACATCTTGGACTTAGACAGGCATGTATGCATGAGCCTAATTCTTGATTCCTGGGCAGGGGTGGACAGGCCTGGGGCAGCAAATTCCTAATTTTGATCCCCAACCATCCCTGAGGCTGTGTAGCCCTTGCTTCTCAGCCCTGGCCGCTCACTAACATTATCTGGTGAGCTTTTAAATAAATACAACAGCTCAGGGCTCATCCCAGATGGATTAAATCACAATCTACGGGAGAGGGACCTGGGCATCATACTCTTTAAAGCTCTCCGTATGACTCTACCATGCAGCCAAAGTTCAAAATTTCTGACACAGACTAGGTATCCAGTGATCACAAGAATCAGCTGGAAGAAGTCCTCCAAATAATTTTGCCCAGGCCTCTCCTCTGTAGATTTTGATCCAGTGGGCCTGGCATGGGCCAGTGAATCTATGTTTTTAATGAGCAACCTGGTGGTTGTGATCAGATAAGCTTGGGGACCCACAACTGCAATAAAATGCCATATTCTCATATTATCATCATGATACCCATCACTTCTGACATGTTATATTTTTGTGGCATATGTTGTTTTGCATTGTTATTAGACTGTAAGCTCCTAGCGGGAGGGGACTTGGTCTTGTTTACTGTGGTGTTCTCAGCACGGAGAGGAGTGCAGGCAAATTGTGGGGACGCCATTGATGTCTGTTTAATGAATGAATGTGGTTTTTTTGCATTTTGTCACTTCTACCTTGTGAACCAAGTCAAGCATGAAATGGAACTTTTGAAAGAAAATAGAAATATATACAATATTTCACTTTCTTTTATAGCTCTAAAGTCCCGTTGTTAGAAACATAAAGATGTATTTTATATGGAATTTGATTTCGTTCATTCAATCATCAAGTTTGGATATTTGGAGACCGGGTCTTCAGATCTGAAGACCTGGAGAAAACTAGAAATGCTCCTGAGAAAAAAAATTTCAGAAATTTTCAAGAGAAAAATCCCCCATTCCTAGTCTTTTTTTCCTGAAAATTTCTGCTTTCTTGCAGAATTTATTTATTGTGTCACTACTGTTTTCCAATAAGTGCCACTGGGCATTCAATGAAAAATAACACACGGTCCTGCCCTAAAAGATATCCCAGTAAGTGGAAAACTAGCCATGGAACTAGACAGTTACAGTATGGGGCGGTAACATGTGTAATCAAATCTAAGATGCCTTTTGCTGTAAGACATACCACTAATTATGTACCACTAATAGAAATGCTGCCATGACAAGCTGGGTTGTAAGACCTATTCTAATTTCAGATATAGAAAACGTAGGGGGGAAATGTGCATTTTAGAATTGATAAAATATGTACGTGCTGAGAGGTAAACTCAGACCCAAAGGACATTTGGCAAAATAAGCCAAAGGCTGGGGCGTGGGAGGGGGTGGAGAAGGGGGAACATCTGCAGTGCAGAGGGGGCAGCATGCTGAGAGGCCATAGCGTGGTTGGGGTGAGGGTCCCCGGGCTGGAAGGTGAGAGGTCAGGCTGCAGAGGGCATCAAGGGCCAGATTAGGATCAGCCTTACAAGCAGGTGACCTTCATCCCAATTTAGTCTCTAGCACCTCCTTTCAGCCTCAAAAGTGCCCTGTTGGGCAATAAGTCCTATGGTTGCCCCATTATTAAGCAATTTTGACATGTGTGCTCTTCATCTTACCAGCAGTGAGAATGATTCAAGGGTTTTAAGAGAGGAGAGTAACACAATCAGATTTGTGAATGTGTCCGTATGCTTGGGGGTTGTGGAGATTCCTTAATTAGAATTTTTTTCATGAGCTAATATGTTCATACAGGTGAAAAATTTAAAAGACAGTAAAATGAAAGTCCTTTCTTACACCCCTGTTCTCCATCCACAAAATTGCCCTTCCTGGAAGCAAACCACATTATCAATTTCTTGTGTGCCCTCTCAGAGATATTTAATGCTTATACAAACAGATCTTGGTCTTTTATATCTACCGTTTTCTCTCTAATCCTTTCTTTATTTCTATTTAACTTGCTGACTTTCCTTATTCCTCTGTCTGTCGCTGAGTTTTTAGCAGTATTTATTCTCCCTTTTACTCCTTCAGATTTTAGACTTTATATTAAGAATGAAGTTTGGGTGGTTGTCTTTTTTCCTTCCTCTCCTTCCCTGAGTTCTGTCAGCTCATGCTATGTCTCCTCCTATTGTTTCATGACCCCTTCCCTGATCTCTAAGGTTTGTACTTTCTTCACAGGGACAATTAACCTTACTATGTTTTAAATTTTTTCTGGTTAGAATTTTCATCTGCTTCATGGCAACAATTTTTTGATGTGTCTTTTTTGCCCGCTGTACTTTTTTCTTTTTTCCTCCTTTTTTCTTGTCATATCTTTGTATATATTACTCATCATTAAAGCAGGTAATTTTTTCCCTTCCCCATACCTCCTGTTTAAGAGCGACCAAGGTTGTCTTCCATACATTTTCCCTATGACCAAAGGTTAGTATAAGTGCACTTGGCCTTGAATCCTCTCCAGCCAATGGTGAGGCTTTTCCCAGTGCAAAGTCTCTCCTCCCCTGTTGCCACGGAGACCGACCACTTCCTACAAACCTGGCTGTCTGGGTGAGACCTCACTGAGTGTTGGTCCATTCCAGGACTCAGGCCACCAGCATGTGCACACGCTTCCTGCTGCTGCAGACGAAGGCTTTCTGTATTGCACTTCCAGGTGTGCCCCTCACCTTCTGGATGGGTGTTTTTCAGGCTGCCCCTGACACTCTGCAGCAGAGTGTAAGTGCCTCTGCTGAAGGTCCGTTGTTTGGGGGCAACTCTTCCACCTAGTTTGTGTTTTAAGTGTCTCCCACTTTCAGTAAAGAGGAGTTTGTGTACTTATTTCTCAACTCCTTTTTGGCTTTGGATCATTTCCAGTAAAAGAAGGGAGGATTGCTAACTTGATATCGTCTTCAAATCAGAAGTTCTCACATTGGAAAGATCACATCGGCTGGGGCATGGAGAACAGACTGGAAGCAGAAAGACCTGAAGTTGGTAGACACATGAAGAGCTGATCCTGCACTGGGGAGCTGGCGTTGGGAAGGCAGAGAAGTGGACGCAAGACAGATTTAGGAGGTAGTGTTGGTAACTCTTACTGGCTGATTAGATGTTTGAGTGAGGTTGGGGAACACGGATCAGGAGAAAGTGGAGCATTTCAGAGCTGGCTGCTGAAAGCTGCTTGTGTTGTCATGTGGAGCTGGGCTTCCTCTTCTGCAGCTTCCTGCCAAGTTCCAAGCCTGAGCCCTCTGGGAAGGGAAGGGGAGAGTCCTAGTGAGCAATGAACTTCCCATCACTTCCCCGGAAGTTCCCCTGAAGATATCTGGCTGAGACTGCTGCAAACGTCTGAGAAGACCTGAGGCAGCCAGGAGCTGAGCTCCTCCTTGTCATCCAGAATTTCTGTCCTATTAATCAAGTCTCCTGACGATGAGACCTGCAAACAGGGTTTGCAAGATTTAAAAAACAAAGCAAAACTGGGCAGAAAATGCTCCACAAAATTGTTGATATCCCAGTGTTTCCTGCCAAGTCCTGACTAAGGACCATTTCTAACCTCCTGGGTATGTGTGTGTGTGTGTGTGGGGGGAGTGAAGGGTACCTATTAGAGGTCATATAGCTCATTCCTTATCTCCAGAAAGGTTTTCTAGGGTATCTAAACCACAAAAATTGAACAGAGAGCTTTGTCTTTCTCTAGAGGAAAAAAAAAAATCTGATTTTTTTTCCCTTTAATCAGTGATAAGTCCTGGGCATTTCCTTTGTTTCTTTTCTTTAATGTGCAGTCAGGGTTGACTGCTGAGGTCTACACAGTCTCAGAGATGGTCAGAGTTCAAGGTTAGGAATTTGCTGGCCCCAGGCCTATCCCCTTCTATCCGGTGATACAGCAGCCTGCCTGTGTACATGATGAAATGTCTTCCGTTCTACTCCCTGGGGATAGATTGATGGCTGCTGAAACAATCACCCTCGTAGTGTGTCTTTTGTATCTGTTTTTTAATACTTTTACCTTGGCTCCTCCTAGGATGTGTTTTTTGACCCAACCACATGGCTACTGAAAGTATGGCCTTGATGCCTTTTGCACACAGCTTCAATAACCTAGAACAGAATTTCCAGTCTAATATAAGCTGTTACTTATTAGTGATTTCTTTGGAAAGTCTCCAGCAATTCCTAAACTAGTTGTTAGGGCTTTTAAAGATTTACTTTAGCAAGGCTAATCCTGGGATGTTGACTTTCTGCCCCTAAAAACCCAAGGCTGGGCTCTACAATGGAATGTTATACAATAATTTAAAATGGTGCTTACATAAAACAGGGTGTTTAGGGAGTTTTTAAAGACTTGGGAGGATGTTTATCATATTGTGAAAAAGGCAGGATACAAAGCTGTATAATTTCAAGTATGCTAAAAATACATGTGATGGAGTAAAAAGAGGCTTCTCAGCCTGTCCTCCCTGCCATCCCATACCCACCCTATTTCCCTTCCAAGCAATTAAAGCAATATGCCTTTTTGTCAAGTTAATGAAGGATATCTTGTCATCTAACCTTGACAGAGAGGAGGTAAATGTTCTCTTGGGCTAATAAGGTCAGGGTGTTTGCTCACAGGAAATAGAGTTACAAGTATAGTAATAAGAAGGATATTAATTTCTTATGTGGGTCAAATATTATTTGTATGTTTTTTTTTCCTGGAAGAAATTAATTTTGGAGTAATGAGATATGCTATCTTTGAGATGTGCTGTTGGGTGAAGCGTTACAGTTTATGTGAAGATACCCCATCTCCTACCTCCCACCTTTGCACCCCAGAAAACAGAGCTCCACTCCCCACATCCTACCTCCTTGGGAAACCTACTTCTCTTCTGGAGCAGGAGCAGTTGGCAGCAGTGGAGAAAAGACATGGTCATTTAGAGCCAGAGCCTGGGAATGTGGGAGGCACAGGATTGGAGTCAAGAGTTACTCCTTTGTTTTAGGAGGGGATGGGCTGGATTTCTGAGCAGAAAATGGCAGAGTCAGAGAAGCAACAGGAGGAGGGGAGAGGGGGAAAGAAATCCAAGTAGGAGACCAATAGGCTATCACGAGATATCTGCTCCACCTTTCTATCCCCACCAAATAGGACTCCAGTTATGTAAGACTTGGAGATGGTTTTCTGTTCTCATTCAGTACAGAACTAGAATCTTCTTTATGGTCCAAGGTCACTGCAGAGAAAGGTTCTCCAACCTCCTCCCTGGTGGGGTGGGCCCAGCAACACCCTCATTGAGAGTCACTGAGCATGAACAGCGTCCACTCACTGGGAACACCTGGAGGTACTAAGTTGCTCTCCTGACACCCCCTCCCCAGAAGGCCTAGAAAGGAGTTGCTCACAGGAGTTACAAATATATACGCATGGAAAAAAGACTAGAAGAAAATAGGTTAAAATGTTAACCGTAGTTCTCTACAGATATTTGGATGATTCCTGCTTCTTTATGTTTTTCTGAATTTGTCAATTTTTTGGCAATAACAGGCATGTGCTATTTCTATAGCCAGGAAGGGAAAAACTCCTGGCCATCTGCCCAGGGAGGTCTTAAGGCTGGAGGTTTCTGAGTAAGAGGTCAGAGGCAGATTTATGGGGATGGGGACACTGTGGTTATGAATAGGTCAGACTGGAAGGGACAGTGAGAGGTCATTCAGTCCAACCCCTTGCCTCTTAGACAAAGTACCTCAACAGAACACAATACGAGGTAAGACAATTAAGTTCATCTTAGAAAAAGTGCTACATACCTCATTGCTGTGTAGCACTACAGTCACCTTCAAAGTACTCCCTTTGGGAGGCTATGCACCAATGCCAATGCCTAGTCCACCCTTCAAAGCAATTTTGGAACTCCTTTTCTGGAATGGACATCAGAGCTGTTGTCATATTACCCTTGATGTCCTAAATGTCATCAAAATGTCTTCCTTTCAATATCTCCTTTACCTTCAAGTAAAGAAAGAAGTCATTGGGGGATGGATCAGGTGAGTAGGGAGGGTGTTCCAATACAGTTATTTGTTTACTGGCTAAAAACTCCCTCACAGACAGTGCAGTGTGAGCTGGTGCATTGTCATGATGCAAGAGCCATGCATTGTTGGCACAAAGTTCAAGTTGTCTAATTTTTTCATGCAGCCTTTTCAGCACTTCCAAATAGTAAACTTGGTTAGCTGTTTGTACAGTTGGTACAAATTCGTAATGAATAACCCCTCTGATATCAAAAAAGATTAATGACATCGTTGCTACAAATTTGCGAACTTAATTGTCATACCTCGTATCTGAACCCCTTTCCCATGTCGAATACTGCCTCCTGCCTCCACACTCTTCTGCGGCCAACAGAATCCCAAGAGAAGTAGACTTCATGCTAAGTGTCCTTATTGCTCTTGTGGTTCCAGTGTACTGCTAAATAGAAAATAGGGCACTGAAGGCTAGATGGAAAGTAGGGCATGATCTATCTGCAAAATCTTTGCTTTCAGGTGGCTCCAGGACCTGCCTGTGGGCAGTGTCCTCTTAAAAGATCCAGTCACCCAAGGGTAAAGAAGTCAAGCAGAGGTGAGGGGAGACCCTTGGGGAACAGGGAGGGAGTGTAGTGTGTTCATGCAGGACTGTGCAAAGAGAGCTGGTGAGCCTGCGGAGAAGCAGCTACCTTTCTCTCTTCCTTTTCTCCTTCGTTCCTTTTCTCTCTAATGGCATGAGGGGCTGTGCCAGGCGTATTGTGTAGGATACAACAACAACAACAACAGCTTGCTCCCTAGCTTCTAGCTCACAACCTAGAGATGAGGTAAGCCCAGCTGGGAGGGTTAACTTCCCAGCACAGGTACTTAATTTCCATACGTTATCCCTGTGCTTAAGGAGGGAGGGATGGTGAACAAGGAACAAACATGGTGATGTGATAACTCCTGAAGAGCAAGGGTGTTGCCTTTTGGGTGGGGGCTGGAACAAGAGGTCTGCCTTGAGGTTTAGTTATACAATCTGTAGAGAGAGTTTCAGAGATGGGGGGATGGATGTGCTTCGGGGCAATACTACCACCCCCTCCTCCCATTTCCTCCTCCTTTCTTCCCTAAATAATGGCCTCCCAAAGTCCATGTCCTGCTCCCTGGGATTTGTGAATATGTCGCCTCACATAGCAAAGGGGTCTTTGCCGATGAGATTGAAGATTTTGAGATGGGAGATTATCCTGGATTATCTGGATGGGCCCAGTGTAATCACATGAATCCTTATAAGAGGGAATCAGGAGGCCCAGATAGAGACAGGAGATGTGAGGATGGAATCAGAAGCCAGGAGGAAACAAGGCGCTACATTGCTGGTGTTGAAGACAGGGGATGGGACCACGAGCCGAAGGGATCTCTAGAACCCGGAAAAGGCAAGGAAATGGATTCTCGCCAGAGCGTCCAGGGGGAACACAGCCCTCTTGGAGTGTAGACAGTAAATGTGACTTAGTTTTAAGCTTCTACATCTATGGTACTCTGTTATAGCAGCAAAAGAAAATTAATACAGCTCTCTTCCCTCTTTGTGATTCTTGTGAGGCAATCATTTGAGTTACCTCTAGAAACAAGAAATGCCAACATTTATTTGAAGAAGTGAAAAACAGGGAAAACATATTTAAAACACATAAAGTTGACCAAGAGCTGGTTTCTTTAGCTTATAAAGCACTTGATAAGAAAAAAAACAAAACCCAAACCAGATTTTTAAATGAGCAAAGAATATAAAAACTGTGTGCTCAGGAAAAAAAAATGGTGGATGGCTTTGTGCTAACGTGGAAAGACCCTATCAGATATGTTATTGAATGGAAGACATCAAGCCACAGAACATCTAGGGGAAATCATATGTCCCCATTTGTGTAAAAAACCAAGATAGAGTCACACATATAGGGTTATACATTTTCCTTTTTACTGGAAAAGATTTCTTGTGAAGAAAATGATAAAGATTGCCTTTAGGAGAGGGATAGAGGGGAATGACATTTAATTTTTAAAAGTTTCCTGCTGTTTAAATTCTCTAACCTTATACTTTAAATTTTTTTCCAGTTTCATTGAGATATAATTGACATATAACACTGTATTGGTCTTAGGTATATAACATGATGATTTGATATATGTATATATTGAAAATGATTACCACAATATGTATAGTTAATAACCTTTTTAAAAAAATGTCAACAAAGGCTAATCTGACCAGGGAGATTATGACTCATTTTTGGCTTTCTTCTTGGTATCTTTCTGTATTAAAAAAAAGAAAGAAAGCCCAACCAGCATAATAAAAGGTATTGGCACAAAGGTGGCAGAGAATCTATCGTGACATATAAGTTTTATTTTCTTGCAACAGGCAGCCCTGGGCTGTTCTGGAAAGTTTACTACTCAAGATTCTCCTTGAGAGCTAGAGCCAAAAGAAGTATAATAAATCCCCCATCCCTTGGGCTCCTGGCATCTGTGACCAGAGTTACCAAGGCCCTGAGATCTAAACCTGATTGTGTCACTGGTGACTTTGGGGCTATGGGGAGAGCAGGTTTGCATTCAGGTCCCAGGTTTGTCATTTACCCACCATTCAACCTCTGGCAAAACAGGGGTCTTCCTTCGGCCTTTGTCTCTTCATCTGTACAAACAGGATGGTGAGGCTGTTTGTTTTCGGGGTTACTGTGAGTCTTAAAGAAAATAATGTTTGTGACGTGCCTGACATGGCAACTGGCCCAGGCAGGAACACAACAAAACCAAGTTTTCTTCTCCCTCCTTACCGTTCTTTCCAATCCTGTCAAGGGCTAAAGGAGGCCCTTGTTCAACAGGGGAGAAGTAAAAGCCAGTGTTTGTAAAAGTATGGAGCCCTTGTAGAGAAAACCAAAGTCATGCAGACACATATCTGTTTCCACATCTGTGTGTCTGCCACCAGTGTGCCATCTCTGCCAAGTCACACAAGGTTAATAAAGTTTGTGAGCCTTTTATAGCCAAACAGGCACGTTGCACCTCCACAATGATATATGTGTTAATGTCACTGCAATAGCTGCAATCCCAGGTGTCATTAGCCCACATGCCCACCACCCGAGACCAGGATGGGGGAGAACAAGCCCACTGTGTCCCCAGAGTCCCTGCTGCGATGTGCTAGTTTTCTTGTGAATTCAAATGAGAAATGGAGCAATTCCACTTTTAGCTGCTTCAGGTGGTAACTGGGGCTAACTGTACCGAGTTTAAAGGAAAAGCCAAATTCTTGGAATCGCAGGATCTGGAGACCTGCAGGGTCTTTAGGAAACCTCTACTCTAAGCGTTGCCTCACACCAGAAGCCTCTCGGTAGCCCCCACGACCGGTGGTGGACAACCCTCAGCTTGACAAGCATGGGATGAGGAGGGGTCAATTGCCTAAGGCCAGCACGGGTGCTCTAAGGCACCCCCTGCTCTCCCCGGCCTTCAGAAATGTTGGCTCTTTTACCAAAAAGAGTTCTCTTACTCTTTTCTTTCTCATTCATTCACTTGTTCATGCCACACATTTTTGTGGAAGGTGTTAAATACCAGGTGCTGTCCTGGGCTCTGATCAGTGCACCAGTGACAACGACATAGACCCTGCCCTCAGGACAAGGCCAGTCAGCTGGCCAGAGGAGCAGCGAGGAGGTCCTGCGCACAGGGGATGGAGCCTTGGCTAAAAGGGAAACCATCGGTCACCCAGTACCGCCCGAGTACTAACACAGGCTGGGGGGGTAGGGCTAGGAAGAAGTAGGTGGTTTGCAGAGAGATTGATGTCTGGGCTCAATTAGATTTGGAGGAGGGAGAGGAAGAAGTCAATGATGAGCTGGTTCCCAGCTCAGTAGTAATGGTGAGAACACACACAGGAAAGCAGGTTTGGAGCCATGTGGTTTGGGGAAGTTGGGTTTTAGATATGTGGGGTTTCATGCCCCAGAGGCCCCAGAGGCATGAGAGTGGACAGGTCCTGCAGGCAGTTGGATCTATGGTTTCACAACACAGGAGTGACTTCTGGACTGGCGGGGTGGATTCAGGAGTCATCAACAAACAAGTGGAGAGAGAAGGCAGAAGAGGGTGAGACAGCTCAGGAGAGAAAGACCTAAGACAGCACCAGGAGGATGCTGTGCTTAAAGCATCTGAAAAGGAGAGGAACCCCATCGTCTAAGAAGAGGTCATAGAAAGTAAGGAGGACACATGAGAAAGCGGTGTCATGGCAGCCCCGTGTCCATACCCCACGTTTTGAGGGCAGTTTTCTTGGGGAAGCCAACCTTTCTCCTTTTTCTTTCATGTGGTTTGAATGGGAAGCAAGGAGACATGGGCATGAATGAGGGGAGGAAAGCAAGGCTATTCTGGGAAAGAGAAATTCTTCTAGGAGAAGAGAGACTGCCCCTTGGCTTGAAAAGAGTAGGGTCAGGATATGAAGTCAGGGACCAGTGCAGCCATTTATAATCGTGAGGGGAAAGCCTGGAGCTGCTGGAGGTGTTCTCGGTGAGACCTGAGGATGAAGCCTGAACTGTAGGTGGCAGGACAGAGAGAAACCAGGTTTTAGATGGACATTGTTTCAGCCACTAGATCAAACTTCACCTGAAGCTGGATTTACCTCTGCGCTTTTCAGTTATGCAAGTTAATAACTTCCCTTTACTGTTTAAGTCAATTTGAGCAGAGGTTTTAATTTGTTTGTTTGTTTTGCTGCTTGCAATACAGAGTTCTAATTAATGCACAAGCTGAGAAAGTGACTTCCTCGGGTCAGTGGGAGGAACATGGGCTGGGAGGGGAGGTGTCAGGATTACAGAAACTTTGACACTTCTGTGTTCCTGAATCATTGTCACCTAGGGCTACATCGGCAGATTTTTTTATTTTGCAATCTCTTTACAGTTTTTTTTTCTCTCCTGCTGTATCACTTCCTTGACAGTATAATTAACATGATTCTAAAGTTGCTTACTCACTAAAAATGAGCTGTTGAAAAATAGGTTAGACTCCCCTTCTCCTTATGTGGCCCGCCTGGATACTAAAGTCCATTCTCATAAACCAGGGTCAATGGCATGTAATAATAGCACGTCCTTGACTTTCTCCCCACTCAAATCCATCTTTCACACTGTGGCCGAGTGGGCTCTTTAAAATACTCACCCCTGCTTAAAAAACACCAGTGCTTTCCATGGATTGCTGGAAGAAATCGCAAACCCCTTAGCATGGTGCATGTGATGCAAATTCTACGTATTCTAGATCCTGGGTCACTTTCCTGCCTCGGCAACCTTCACATGAGCCCAGCGTTGCACCCACTGTTTATAATCAAACTGTTTGAATGTGCCATGCACCTCTACACCTCTGGGTCTGTGTTTCCACTTTCCTTCTGCTTGGAGAAGTAATTAATAATAATAGCTAATGTTTATTTGGCACTTTCCATGTGCCAAGCACTGTACTAAATGCTGCACATGAATAATCTCATTTAATCCTAACAACTTTCCAATGAGTAGTACTATTATCATCACCCACCCCCTTATACGGTGTTCAGAGGCCAAGAAAGAGTATGAAATGTGAAGTGGGGAGAAGCGGATGAGAACCTGGGGGTGGTCACGAGGGTGGGAAACACACTGGGGCTCCTCCCCACTCAAGCAAGGGTCTCAGGGGCCTTACAGAATTCACATCATTCAGGCTAGGTCCTCTAGTCTATGTTTTACCCTGGAAGTCACAGGTAATGACTATGCACATATTTCCTAGACCTCAAAGACTGGGACCTCTATGTTGTCCCTGCCAAGCATATGCGTGTGTTGTGTCTGTGTGTGTGTCTGTGTGACTAGTTGCATCTTTGCCAAGGTTGACACCCTGTGTGACAAAGTAGGATCCTCATTGGCCACTTCTCTCCAAGGTCTCCCCAGGACATGTCCCCTCCTCCCAAGCCTTCCCCTTTTCTGGTTAGGAGAAACTCCCCAATTCTCTACTCCAGTTGCTTCCATCTCACCCCCTTCAAGACCTCCCTCTCTCAGACAATGCAGCATAATTCCCGGGGAAAATGTGTTTTTACAAAACAAAAGCCAGGAAGTGGTGGGTGTCTACTGGGTGCTTGGCAATGAAAGGCAGCCTGTGGCTCCCAGCTCACCCAGCCACACAAAGGCTTCTGGGAACAGAACTTAGCAATGCTGGGCTGCCTCCTGTTCTGAGGGAGTACCTGTGGGAGGAAGAGCAATCCCAAGTGAATGCCTCCACCATCCCCGCTTCGTTGGTCATCACATATTTAATTATTGACTGTCTCCTGAGCTCACCACTTGAGCATAAGCTGCATGAAGGCAGGATCTTTGCATCTGTTTTATTCACTTTGGCTCTAGCACAGGGCCTGCTGGACGAAATCACAAACCGCTTAGCATGGTGCATGTGATCACATATGTGTCCTTTAAGTGTCTGTGGAAGGAAGGAAGGGAGGAAGGAAATGATATAGCGCCTGAGGGAGGTTATGGGCAGGATGAGAGGACTGCCTGTGATCTCACCTTTATCCCCCCTCCTTTTCTCAGAGCCCCTCTGTGTCCTCTCACTTGGAACGGAGGAGAGGGCTCTTCTCGCCCATGGAATACCTTGTTAAGCTGCCCTCTATGGCTCCCCTGATCAGCAGCTGCGTGGCTCAAGGGGAAAGCACACTCGCTTTTGATTCAGGCAGAGCTGGGTATAAATTCCAGCTCAGTGACCTTGGTCAAGTTACATATTCTCATCTGCAAAATGGAGATATTTATTGTGCTTAATGAGTTGCTAGTGTGTAAATGCACTTGGCAAGTGGTAGATGATCAAGAAATGAAGCTATTATTATTTACATGGCTTGTCGAACTCCATTCATTCAACTCATCCAATGAGCACCTATACCCTCCTCTCACAGAGCTTACTTTCAGAAAGTTTCACATGTCCCCTACTTTCTGCTGGGCAAATACAGGGCGCTTACTTTGCCAAGGGCCAGGGACCTGGGGATAAAGAAGAGAGAACTGTCCAGTGAGGGGGTCACATCTCCCTGCAAGACATTCTGGCCCCATGGTTTCTCCTTCTCATTTTCCCCTCCAGTGCCTCCTGGGATAAGGACTTTGTCTCCTTGGAAGCGGGGATGGTGCTTCAGTCTCCTCCAGTCGCCTGCCTGACATCCTGAGCCTGGGAGCTCCTGCTGTCTTTCCCCCTTCGCCTCACTCAGAGGTGAACAGCAGGTACACATCACTTGTTTGTGCCCAGAAGGACTTGTTCGTACCTAAACTCTTCCACTGACTCCCCTTTCCTGCTGTGAAAACTCCAGAACTTTGCTCCTGGGTCACCTTTGTGCCTCCTGTTTTGTATTTCCGTTTCTCTCAGCTAAAAGAAGACTGGTAAGAGGAAGGGGAAAGCAACCTCATGGAGGAGGCCTCCTTTCTAGAAGGGCTTCCAGGCCCAGGAAGGGGAGAAAGCAATTTGGTGTCACTCTAGTGTTGGTGATGTTGAGCCTCACCCCCACTCCCCCAGGGATATTTGAATCTCAAAAACAGAGAAGGGGGACCTAACACAGGGACTGTATATGGTATATATGAAGAGCGCCTACAAATCAATATGGCAGAAAACTTAGAGCAGCCACTTCACAAAGGAGGATGTCCTATGGCCAATAAGTATGAAAAGATACTCAACCTTCTTAGCCATCAGGAAAATGAGAACTACACCAGAATAGCTAAAATTAAAAAGACTGACAATATCAAGTGCTGGTGAGGATGTGGAGCAACGAGAACTCTCCTACACCACGGGTGAAAGGGTAAATGGGTACAGCCCTCTTGGAAAATGGCTCAGAAGTGTCACTAAAGGTGAACATAGTCACACTTACCCCAGAAATCCCAAACGTAGGTACAGATCTACCAGAAACATTTTTATCAATGCACCAAAGTCACATACAAGAACGTGCATAGTAGAGCTGTTTGTACTAGTAGTGGCATACTGGAAACCACTCAAATGCCCCTCAGCAGTGAACGGGTAAATAAAATATGGTAATTTAGACAGTAGAAACGTGTGTAGCAGTGAGAGTGAGCTACTGCTACCTGCAACAACATGCATGAAGCTCACCAACATGCTGAGTGAGCGAAGCCAGGCACGTAAGAGTACACATTATATGATTCCATTAACTCAAAGTTCAAAAACTTCGCAAAAAAAAAAAAAAAAAAGCAAGCCTTAAGTATACGGTGTTGGAAGTCAGGACAGGGGTTACCTTTGGGAAGGAGGGGGGCACAAAGGGAGCTCAGGGTGCTGGTAAAATTCTGTTTCCTGATCTGGGTGACAGTTACAAGTTATGATCACTTTGCAAAGATTTGAGTTGCACATAATTCATTGAGTTTTGCACCTTTTTGTATGCATGTTCTACTTCAACAAAAACGAAGTTTACTTTAAACAGAGGTGGGGGTAGGGGAAGGGAAGGGAAGTAGGAAAAAACAATGTTCAGCCCAAAGGGTTAAGCGTTGGACTCTGAGATGGAGTGGAATGGAGTTAGCAAGCAGAGCACTTGGGGTCCACACCAGTGGGCGGGAAGAGAAGGAAGAAGAGGGGGCAGAGGAAGAGGTCTGCCACAGCACAGGCTCGCGATAGCCTCAGCTGACCCCTAGAGAAGTCCTTGACCGAGATTAGCCCCTCAGGGTTGTCCTTACTTGGACTGCAATGGCCAGACCTTTATACTCTGGCATTAGTCAGTCCCTGGATGTGGGCCACCAGGGGACAACGTGTGACCTTGGGCATGACTGCCTTCTACAGCTAAGGTAATCCTGAAAGGGCTGACTGTTGTGCCTGCCACAACCCTCCCAGCAAGTCCCTCATTGAAGGGGCACCTGGGCAGCCACCACAGGCAGCCTGCCACCTGAGTGGAAAAGATCTTTTGGCCCAGAGCGATTTTCGGAGGTCTCTCAGCCCCAGCACTTCTAGTCTGATTAAATTCTTCCCGTGGTACTCGTCACCCATAGGACCTGCCTGGCATGGCAGCCTGTGGCAGGCTTCCCACACAGAAGCTGAGGCTGGACACAGCACGGGGTCTTTGTAGTTCCTGTCTCACCTCAGCAAAGTCCTCTCTTCGGCCTGGATGCCCTCATCCCAGACTCACTTGGTGAAATCCAGCTGCCCTTTGAGACTCAGGAGTCACCTCTTCCAGGAAGTTCTCCATGATCCTACTCTTTTCCTAGGAAGAGTGGGCCCTTGCTTTTTTGAGCCCCTCCAAGCACCTTAGCACCCCACCTTTTATCAAACTCTTATTGCACTATTTGTTTATCTGCCTGCATCTCCCACTAGTGGAAACCCTTTGAGATGGGGAGGTGCCTTACTGATCACTGTACAACAATCACAATAGTTCTGGTGGCTACCATGTGTTGAGTTCCTCTGATGGGCCTGGGACTCTGCTGTGCATTCACATGCCTGAATTTACTTAATCCTAACAAACAACCCTGTGAGGTGAGTCGCTACCTTTTAGAACAGAGGTGCATTTGCCCACAGTCACACAATCACACAATATTATAGTTAGTACTCAGGTGGGACTTAGTTTGAAACCTCGGAGTCCTCTGGAAATGGTGGTTAGGGAAGGAGAAAGGGAAGGGAAGAAAGAAGGAAGAAGGAAGGAAAGAAGAGAGAAGGAGGGAGGGAGGGAAAGAGGGAAGGAAGGACAGGAAGGAAAGGAGGGAGGGCTCCTCTGACCACGCCCTGAGGGTAGGCCCATTGGCAGCGTATTTCATACCTCAAGGGACTCCTCAAGCTGTAGGGACCTCTGCCTGGGAGGGGACAGCGCCTCGGCCCCGCCCCGAGCCCTGCCCATCTCTCTGTTCCCAGAAACCCCCAGGCTGGCCCCTCATCCTGGCCTGGTGGGTGGAAATGCAGTTGACAAATCAAAACCTGTCTGTATCCGGGGAGGTCCCTGGGCCAGGGCTAGTTCACAGTTTGAATCCTGATGTTTACTTTTTTTCCCTCCTCAGTTGCTCCCTTTGAAGAACAACCTCAGGGGTCATGCTGTAGCATTAAACAAGGGTGGAAGATGCATCTCAGGGTTAGCTGTGGGAGCCTCTAAAGCAGCTTGAGTCCCTGGGGGTGCCTGGCACATGGAATCCTGCACTGAGCCCTGAGCACAACAGGGAGGTGGGGGTTTCTCAGCTGGACAGAGAGCAGCAGACAGACACACAGGCCGCAGGCACAGACACACAAATACAGTCGTGCTGATGTGCCTGAGAGCACATGGACATTCATGTGCACAGATGCATACATGGCCTTAATGTGCAACCAGGCTGCAGCCTCATGTGCATGTATGCACAGGCATGCATGCATGAATGCATGTGACATGTATATAGATAGACACACACTTACTCACACAGAGAGAGACACACCCAGAGGTTCCTGGCAAAGAGCGTATTTTTGTCCTCGGCTTCCTGACAATGTGTCTACTGATTCTATCTCTGAAATGTGTCTCCTAATTGTCCTCTTCCCCATCCCTGCCACAGCCCTAGTCCTTTTAATGCCCACCTGGACCACTGGAGAGTAGTAATAGTCTCCTGGCTGGATCCCTGCCCCTATTTGGGTTCACCTTTTAGTCCATCCAACACACAAGAGTCGGGGGTGTTGGGGTATCAGGCAAATCTGACCACATCACTCCCCTGTTTATAACCCTTTAGAGGCCTCCCCTTTCTTACAAGATGAAGTTCAAATCATTTGGCCTTCAATATAAGGCCCTTTGCAACCTGACTTCAGCTTGTGGTCTGGCTTCAGACCCTGGCATGGAGCTCCGGGCGCCCAGCACTCCAGCTGAGGGCCTCCTGGAGGAAGCTGCCCTGCCCTACGCTGAAAATATTTGCTCACCCTGGGCTCACCATGTGAAATTCCCTCCTCCCCACGTCCATATTTCCTGTGCTAAACTACCACCCATCCATCTTTCAAGGCCCAGCTTGGCCAACATCATCCCACTTCACCCTGACATTCAAGGCATTGCCATTTTCCTGTCCCACGGCTCTCACAGTCCTTTCTTACGCCCTCACCAGTATCATCGTCACCTGTGTGCACACGGCTTACTCCCATTGAACTCCAAGCATGTCTAGTACACAGTCTAAAACATACTGGGTGCTCAACCGGGTTCTGGGTGTGAGTGAATAAATGAATCAGGGTGTAAGATGATCAGATCATACTAGGTGATCTTTCCTGGGTGGGAGACACCCAGGCATGTGCTGTAACTTCTCTGCACTCAGGCTCCACATGGGTAAGAGGGCGTACTGCTACTTCCTGGTAAAGTTTATGATGTGGACGATAGAGATGTATGTAAAAAACTCATCCGAGTGGTTAACACATGGTAGGCACTCCACAAACGATAATCATAGTTGCTGTTTTAATTTCTATTTTTATTTCCACTGAGGTCCTCTACTGAGTTTTTCTGATTCTCTGACACCCTCACTGCCTACCCGTTTCAGGGATGGGCTCCCAGAACTGATGTACTGAAGGTTTGTTGTTGGCTCGATTGACTTAATGGCTCTTGAAGGGCTTGTTTCCAGTCTGAGACTTCTGAGCTGAGTGATGTTCTTCCCCCCAACCTCCCCTGAGACTGGAAGCTGAGAGCTGCACAGAGTACATTCTTCCTCCCATCTCCCCAGGCTGAACAGCTGCTCTGTTTGGAGTTCTGTGAACTGAGCTGAGCTGGGACCTGGGGAGACAGAACAGCTGGGCCTTTCTGCTCCAAAAGGTAGAGTCATTGCAGTCAGCCCCCCAGCATCTGCAGGCACCCTCCAGGATGCTGCACATGTGGTGGGGTTCCCATAGCAACCACTGTGGGACCTGCTGTCTCTCCTTCACCACAACTCCTCCTGGACTTGTGTGAGAGGAGAGGATGAGGATGGGAGAGGAAGGGGCAGGACTACCGGGCATTTCATAGACAACCTTTTCAAGTCCTTTAATCCTCACAATAACCCCAAGAAGAACATGCTATTATTGTCCTTATTTTACTGACAAGATAGTTGAGGTCCAAAAACATGGGTTTCTAGTCCAAGTTCACCCACTAAGAAACAAGAGACCGGTCTGCAACCGTATCAGTTTGTACTGATGCAGTCACCGTGGGTCAGCTGGCTGCAAGCAACAGAAACCAACACCCACCTTTTTAACCTTGAAAGAATGTATCCGAGGACTGTGGTGCAGCTCCAGGAGGAAAGGAAAAGCGAGACTCCTGATTGGAAAGGACAGGAAGCAGAGCAGCTTGGAGGGTCTGGCGGGCAGGAATGACTGGACAATCATTTCATCCAGATGAACAAACTTCAGTTTTTGGGGTTTTTTTAAAGATTTTTATTGGGGAATTGGACGATGGGAACAGCACTGGGGAATTGGGGGAAGGGGAACAGACAAGTTGCTGTCCTTTTGTTCTTCAGTCTAGTTGTGGAGGACGTTGCTTCACTGGCCCAAGTTGGCACCATCATTGTGCTCTTCCGGGGCGAGGCAGATCAGTCGCCGGCTTCTGGACGGCCGCTCACTGCGGCTGCTGGCTGCTCACGCTGGCTGCTGGCTACACACAGTAGCCCATGGCAGCCCACTGCCACAGGGGCTGCAGCCTACGCCGTTGCCGGCAACTCACAGCAGCCCAGCTCCAGGTCGAGCTGTTGTTCAGCATCTTAGCTGTAGAGGGCAGTGTCACCGGCCCTCATATGTGGGATCTGAACCGGGGCCCTCTGGCGTCCCAAAGCAGCTCTTAACCAATGTGCCACTTGGCCGGCCCCAAACTTCAGTTTTTAAATCTTTTTGTCTCTCCATTTAGGACTCAGGTTCAGGAGGGCCTGGGTCCAGGGAAACTTGTTGGCTGGGAGAGGGCACAGGCTGTGATTGACAGTCCTACCAAACCTAAATCCAATGGAATAGAGAGTAGTCCCCAAAGAAAATTGGGATGCCGTTTCCAGAAGAAAAGGGACTGAATGCCAGGTAGACCAAAAGCCCAGCGCATCTGACTGCACCATACTGTGATGGGATGCAGGGTGGGAAAGCTTCTATGGTGAATGAGGAAGGAAATTTGAGAAGCTTGAAAGAGGGGTGCTACCTAGAGAAACTAGAGACAACTTAAGGGGCAGCAGCAGTTGGGAGGTGGACATCTAGAAGAAGGAAGCTGTAAGTTCACAGTCTTCATTTTCATGGGCACAAAATGCACCCATGTCTCAATGTTATCTACTCTCTTCACTGACCTTCCACACCTCAGTAGACACACACACACACACACACACACACACACACACACACACACACACTCCTTTTCTCTTTAGCTTTTTAGAGAATTATTCATCACTAGCCTTGGTTAGTAGATAGAGCCCTAGTTACCTCCTAAATTCTATGTGATTTACTTATTATCTCCATTGTCTATTGCCTGCCTCTTCTGTCCCCTCTAGAATGTAAGACCCAGGGGGGCAGAGATTTTTCTCCTGTTTTTTTATTACTGTATCCCCATTACCTAAAAAAGTACCTGGCACATAGTAAGTGCTTAATTAATATTTGCTGAATAAGTGAGGATGTACCAAATACTCCAATAGATACTTGGGATACAACAGTGAACTAAAAGAAGGATCCCAACCTCATGGAGCTTATAGTCTAGAGAGACAGAAACAACCACAAAAATATATAGCAAAAGAACAAAAGTAAAATAATGAAAACTTGTGACATAGGTTTTGAATGAAACACACAAGTGCCTTAAAAAAAAAAGTTAAGAAGATAGAAAATTACCTAAGATCTGGCAGTCACGGAATAGAAATCCTCTCTCAAGCAACATTTAGATGGAGACCTGAAAGATGAGAAAGTGCGCTGACCATGAAAAATATGGGGGCAAATTCTCCAAGCAGAGGAAAGAACATGTGCAAAGGCCCTGAGGCTGGAAAGAGCTCGCTGTGTTTGGGAACTGGAATGAGAAGACCAGTGTAGCTGGAGCTTAGTAAGCAAGGGCTAGAGGGATTGCAGATTGACGGTAGAGAGTGCGCCAGGTGCCAGGCCACCTGGGGCCTTGTAGGCCATGGCATGGGGCTTGAATTGCATTCTGGGTAAATTGGGAAGCTGTTGAAGGGTTTTTAACATTAATGCTTGACCCTGTTTATGATTTAAGCTGATCACTCTAGCTGCCAGGTGGAGAACACACTGAATCAGACAACAGGAGGCCAGTCAGTGATTATGGCAGCCCAGGCTGGGGCTGAACACAGGAGGCCAAAATCAGAGGACAGTGGGATACCTTCAGGGCACCTCTCAGTTAAATCAGGTGCTACAGCCAGGCTGGATGATATCACCCTCCGGGGGCCAGGAAGGCACCCCCCTTCTCCTGGCCCATTCCCAGTCTGTAGGTGATGGATAGACCCACTGACGATCTGCCTGGGCCCTGTGCCTAAGTGATAGGTGACGGATGGGATTGGAACGGAACACTCTGAGCCATGTGGCCAACACACTGCTCCAAGGGGGACTTTGGAGCCAGGAGTTAATTTACAGAAAGGAGTGGGGGAGCTCAATATCGTTTCCTTCACTGCTCAATTAGTGGAGAGGGCTGTGGGGAGCTGGAGTTTCAAAGATCCCCTTAATCATCTTCTGTCTGCCTGGCAGTGTGCAGGAGTGTGGTGGGGATAATTGCACCTACCCATTAACAAATGCAATTAAGGCACTGGGGCCTCCAGCACCCCCTTCTCCAATTAAACAGCAGATGAGGGGCTCATGGGGGAGGCCTTTGAGATGAATCACTTGAAGTTGAAAACTTGGAGGCTGGAAGTCTGGACAGAGGCGATTAGGGTCGATAAAATCGTGATGAGGAAGGAGAGACTCATCCAGTCCCAGCCTGCTCCAGCTCAAGGCGCTCCCTGCAGTGGTGTGGCTATTCTTTAGGACATATTAGAAGTCCTGCTTTACACAGAGGAGAGTCAATATTTAGAACTCACTGACCAACCACCCCCTTTAGCCAGTCGCTTCCTCTTCGCCAAGGGCACACCCACAAGGCGGTTAGATACAGGTGAATCCCTGGATATTTAATTTTGTGAGAAACTAGGTTGTCTGGTGTGTTGGCAGGGAGGGTACTGGGAGGGCATGCTGCTATCCTGAGAAGGGGTGGGGGTGGAGAGAAGGGGACTTCCTTTCCTGGGCCTCTCCATATTCTCCAATATGGCAGGTCTCTGCTCTCTCCTTTCCCATAGGCCATCTGTTAATTACATCCAAATCCCAACAGCCTGGGAGGAGGGCCATGATCTCTTTTAACAGAAGCTTGGGAACTTCAAGTGCTTTGTCTCAGATCCCAGAACTAGAAGATGATGAACCTGGCCTGTCTGACTTCCAAGTCTTCACTCGCTCCACTATTCTGAGAGTCCTCTTTGAAATCTTCCTGGCCAAGACTTGCCTCTGTAGGCCCTTTGATACCCCATAGGGGTGGGCTCAGGGGGACATTTCAAATGTTATTCCCAACTTTCTCCCCACTCCTCCCTCCCTTTGGCGGGAGCTCTGAATTTCTGAAACGAGGCCTCTGTGATTCCTGACATGGCTAGAGGACCACTGTGCTCATCTCAAGCTGAAAACATAATGAGAAAAGAAATCCCTCCTACCTTAACTGCCTCTCCCTATTCTCTTTATGCGGCTCACCAATTATAATCTCTATGAATCATTATGCGTATGCCGATCACCATTTTCACTTAGCATCTCCGCTGAAGCTCCGGGTGCTGAAGTGCATCACTGAAACGCTGCACAATCTCAGTTTGCAAAGAGGAGACCCAGCTCGACTTGAACATCACTGCACACAGGTCTTCCTGCAGGGGCCCAGACAAGGGCCAGGAGTCCACAGCCTGCTTATGCCCAGCTGGAGCCAGCTGCCCCAGGCGAGTGCTGAAATAGCTCTGCTTCTGCCCAAAGGAGCTCAGAGGGTGAGTAACATGTTCCCTGATCCCCAATTCTCCCATCTTATTGCCCTGGGAACTTTGCTTTAGGTTTTGGTTTAGTTTTGTTTCTCTGTGACTTCAATGAGAAGCTGGTTCTAGAGAGCAACAGAAGTTGCAGATTAAATTGTGTTAACAGGGGAGCCACCTGCCAGTCTCTCCTTCCTTTGAGGCCTTTCTGAATTAACTCCAAGACACCCGCCACTTTCTGTGGCCTAGATTCTTTTCTGAGTTTAGGACTCTCCCACGTGTGCCTCTTTCCCTCCTGGCTCTATCGAAGCTCCAGTAAGATGGGAAGAGACAGGGGCAGGCAGGGGGACCAGTTGCAGTGTGGCCCAGACGAGGAACCCCTATCTATCTTCACCAGCAACCAGGCCCATGCTTAGCTGACAGAGGGAGGGTTTCTGCTACCCCTATGCCCCCTAGGACATTGCTGGGTATTCAGAAAGGCAACCAAGTCCTCTCTCCTCCCTTCTCTTCCCAAACACGTATTTATCAAATGTCTGTTATGATCTGGCCAAGTTCCAGGGGTTGGGGACCAAGCAATAAATAAGCTAGCTTCCTGTCCAGTAGGAGAGACACTCTGGTAAGGAGCACATAGTAACTACACCGTGAGAAGCATTTCAGGAGAAGCCTGGCAGAGGCCTCCCTCTGGGAGCATGGAGGAGGGGATCATTGATTCTGCCTGGGAGGCAGGCATTTGCATTCAGCCTTGAAGGCTGAATAGGTCAGAGTAGGCACAGGCTTTCCAGGAAGAGGGAAAGCCTGCGCCAAGACCAGAAAGGTACCGCAGACATGATGTGTTTGATGCCACATGGACACTGCTGCCTCCAAGGCCCTGGAATCATCCGAGTTCCACAGAGCCAGCCCCGAAGTGGAGGAATGGCCCAGCCTCCCGGACAGCAGGCCCTGACCACGCAGGGAGTCTAAAGAGCTCAGGAGCAAGCCCCTCTTCTCCTCTTGATATGAGGCAGGAGGCTGTAGACACCTGCTCCGGGACCAGGCTCCAGATTCAAAGAAAGACCTTGGCCACACACACCTTGGGTATCAACACGCCTAGGAAACAGTCTGGCCAAGATTTCTCTAAGCCAGAGTGAATACATGTGCACACACACACACACATACACACTCACACACACACACACACACGCTCACACACACACACACACACACACTCACACACACACATACACATACACACACATACACATACACACACGCTCACACACACACTCACACACACACATACACACACACAC